GGGGTATTTGATGACGTCATCGTCGATACGAGGTGTACGTAAAACCGAGGGTTCGTATAACTGTGGTACGTAAAAACGAGGTTCTACTGTAATTATTTATTACACTTTAAAACCTTGAATTGATACCCCGTGCTGCTCCTTTTTTTTTTTTTTTTTTTTGCGATTTTTTTTTTTACATACTGAATGTCACAAACACCATAGCAACCAGACCATAAACCGCCAGCATACAGTATGTGACGAATTACGAATTGTTAGTTGCCATGATAATTGCGCGTCGTGCGGTGATTACAAAGGCCTAATGATATTTTGCACTAACATCAGACTGAAATTATATTCTTTATTTCAACATTAATTTTACCAATGTTGTGGTGTATTGTTGTTCATGAGACTCACTTTGCAGAAAAAAATAAATTTTCTGTATCTACGCAAATGTTCATTTTGTGCACCTTAGTCGAACATTGTCAAAATGACAGTTCAATATTATATAAGAATATTAAAATTATAAAAAATCGTAAGCTTTCAATTGCTATAACTTTCCATTTTGTTGGTCAATTTTCACGAATCAAATTGCACTTTATAGAAGCGTTTAACAAGCTCGTGGTGAAAAAGAAATCAGATTTAACAGACATGGCAAAGTATTCAAAATAAACAAAATAGTAACTAACACCAAAAAATGTACAGCACGCATAGACTAATAATTGACGGCTGTACTCGCAACTAGTAGTATCGGATTGTCGATGCCACAGTAAAGATCAAAGGACTGTACGCACACGCTATGTTCGAGAGCGGAGATGTGCGTCCTTTTGTTGAATTGCCTTGATTTATGTAAATGAGTTTATGAAAAACTAGGCCTACCTTAGACCTAGTCCTAACTAGGGCCTACACACATTACCCAACAACACCCACTTTTAGAATAGTATCACCCAGAGATGAAACATGGTGGCCAACTTGTATACCTGATTCACTAGCCTAACTAGGCCCTGGAGCCCTAGCCATGTTTGTAGTAGGCCGCCCTAGGACTAGCCTAGCATAGCATAGTAGGAGGACAGGTAGCCTAGCTAGCTAGTACTACTAGGGCCTGGCCTAGCCTAGCTAGGCTCCAGCTTCTTATATTAGGCCTACCTAGTGTTCTAGGCCTACTCTTTGTGTTATATTAGACATTTTTCTCAAATCAAATTATTTTTACGAGAGAGAACTACAATCATCTTAAAATGTCTTTATATTATATATTAAACAAAACCTCCTAGTGAAGTCTGAATTGTGAATAAGAAGACGTGAATTTTTACTACCTCCAAATCAGACGCCATTTTAAATTCTTAACAGCGCCCTCTATAGCGTGTGCCGCAGTAAAAATTCACTCAAGCGCATCAAGACTAATTTTTGAGAAGGATACTTCCAATGTAAGTAACACTGATCAAAATACAGTATAGCGATTTTCAATAATTCTTTTCTAGAAAAATGAAAGAAATGATCATCTGACTTAGCCTATATAAAGTCTACAAATATAAATTATAGGGCTCTACTATGCTATGGCAATAAAAGTAAACATAAAAAATGATAAATATCAATTAAAACTTTATATTCTGGATAAAGCAGAAAACAAAAGAACTTACGTTTTAAAAAATTATTTTAAAAAATGATTTTGCAATTTTACCATTCTCCATTTTTTTTTTGTTTATCATGAATCAACATTCATGCATATGTAAATGTGTACAAATTTATGTAACCTCTCCCCTTAGCGTAGTGTTTGTACACTTATGAAAATGCTAATACTAATAGTATTGTGAACGATCAATAAGAAATTCAAATATAGAATTTTTTTTTTTTAATTTTCAGACGGTTCTGACTCTATTCGGTGGTTGAATTATCGTCGTTCATTGATCAAAAATTCGTCCACCGGATTCTAAAAGAGCAGTAGTAATTATGAAAAATAAAATTCATGTTCTATCTGTTTAAATAACTGCGAAAATGTTATCAGTTTGAGCGCTTGTAGAAGCGAATTTGCATAACAAATTTTAATTGTACCACATATCGTCGAATGGTGATGGTGCAGGGGGTGAGTACGTACTGCTCCCCTGCAAGTTATATGACGATATTATAATATAATATTGTTATGTGGGAAGGTTGTTCCAAACCATCAGAAATTTGAATGTTAACACTTTAAAAAGTGTTAAAAATCAATTAACATATATACTAGTCACCAAGAAAAACCTCTGAAAAATAAAAATAAGCCTATATATAAAGTAAACAAAATTTGTATACATGCCTTTAGGAAGCTACATGACTGCTTCTTCCATGCCTACGTTTTCTTCACAGTTTAAATCAATTGATCTTAGCCTCTCAAAAACTTAGTTTTCAAATACAAGTAATAACCAATAAGACAATATGGGCCTATATGTGTTAATGTTTATGTTTTTATATACGGTATTTGAATCAAAATACTAATTTACCTTTTCTGTTTTGTGTTTAATTTCTGGTTTATGTCTCAGTCACTGGAAAGATTTTGTGACTCCGGTCAATTTCTCTAAATTTCAATATTTGTTTTTTTTTAGTACTGTATGAAATTTGTACCCCTATTAATGTTAATTTGCATGCATCTTTATTTTGTCATGTTCTCGTCGATCATTTTGGTTTCAAAAAATGTATAATACCGCCCTCTAAATATGCGCATGCGTAGAGAGACACTTCAGGTCGTGGGGAAATATAGAAAGTAAACATTCAAATCCAGATCCCGCGAATACTGTGAGGTGATTACTGTATGTAAACGGCGATCATTCGTTTGTTCACGTCTTACTCTCTTATTTTGTCAGAAATCGTTCAGAACCACGAAGTTACTTCAGCTTTACACAAAGTAAGTTTAATTTTTAACTAATTTGCTACTTTTGTTATCGTAAAAAATAATGATAAGTGAGTTGCCTCATCCTTTGCCTGGTTGCTCATCGATTCATTATTTCCACTCACTCAGCTGGCTGAGCTGTTTGAATACGTTGGATGAGACAAAAGTCGTCCATGGAGTTATAATTATTTTGAGAAGTTTTACAGGTGGTAGTATAATAAGAATAAAAATTTAACTAACGGCCTAGGGCCTAGAGCATCGCTAGGCTAGGCCCGGGCCTAGGCCTAAACTTGTTTCAGTTTGGCCTTCTTTCTACCAACCAAGGTGTTTCAGAGTCAGAAGTTAAGATATAGGCCTAGTGTAGGTAGGCATAGGCCCCTAGAAGAGGCCTAGGCCTAGGCCTAGTGTAGCTGACTGCTTTATTATTCATGCTGTGTGCTGCCCAAGATACTAGAAACACAAGATAGAGTTCTCCACAGAAAAAAACTTTTCCACCGAAATGCATGGTGGGAATACAAAAAATGGGGCGCCGCGTACAGCTGGATCTAAAAAACTTCTGCCACTGTTACATAACTGTGAATACATGTAACATAACCTCCTTTTGCGGAGGTTGAAATCGTTGTTACTATCCATAAGATACAAACAAGTAGGCATAAATAAATCAAAGCAATAAAAACAAACAAAAGTGCAGATTTGTATGACCGGACTCTGATTAGTGATAAAGTTTTCCTCCATTAGTGGAAAAAGAAGTGCACCGCGTGGGTCTGGTTATACCTAGCATCTGAAGGGTGCCCTGTACGTCTGGATCAAGTATAGAAAACTTGCTTTATAAAAGGAGAAGGGCGCCTCGTACGTCTGGACTAATTTCCGCCTCATTTTTGCTATGCGAGTGCTCTCTCTTATATTTCTAGTATCTTTGGTTGCCCTGAACATTTTTCCATTAGCCTAGGCCTACAGATAGTAAGCCGATGCAGTAAATAGGAATAAACGAGAGTCAAGTAGGCCTAGGCCTGTATGTAGGTCCTGTATGGTGCATGAGAGTATTTTACTATGTGCACATGTACACCTGCCAACTCTCACACATAATGCACAAGTCTCGCGCATGACCATGCACTTTTTACATCTCGCATTTACCTTGTATGGCCTAAGTCTCGCACATCATAAAAATTTTATAAGAGATAAAATTTATAGGCCGATTATTTATACCCTTAAAAATGGATAAAATGAAGTGAATTCATTTTTAAGGGTATAAATAATCGGCCTATTTATATATACCCTTAAAAATGGATAAAATGAAGCGAATTCATTGTTAATGTGAATACAGGCCTTATAAATTTCTTTTATCAAAGCTCTACCGAACGACGACTGTAAACAAGCAGTCATCACTACAGTTTTTTTTAAATAACAGAGGGTGCTCTATTTTGTGATTTTTACATAGAGGGCCCTATATATATATTTTTTTTTTTTCTCACTCAGACACCAACAAAGTTGGCAGGTAGGCGCATGTACTTTGCTGTGTCAGAAATTGATCCTCCCAAGCTGACTTTGAGTGTTTGTTGGGGTGGGGTTTCGCTACCAGAGAGAGGGAGGTTTGCCCGAATCAAGAAAATCCCACTGGCTACTGGCCTACTACAACTAACTACAAAGGCACACAATTTTCATTCTTGAATTTAAAGCAGGCCTATCTTTGTGAGACTAATCTACCAGACATATTCAATTTAAAGTTTAATTAATGGAAAGTTTCCTGCCCACACTATAAATTAATGTAATTACCATCCTACTTATAGTAAAGTTCTGAGGAAGAGAAACTTGAATTTATTTGACAAAAAGTATGTCATACTTTTAGAACATTTTGCATGGGTACAGTATTTGGTAAGTTACTAGACCTAGGTGTAATCTTTTTTTTTTCTTCTGAAATTAATTCAATTCAAATAATATTATAATTCATTTTACTTTGATTTTCAATAACAATATGAAAATACACAATATTTTGAAACAGTGTGAGAAATATTAACATTCTCAATAACTGGTGTAACAATAGTCACAGCCAAAAAACATGCATGTTGCCAACTGACGCAAAATCTTAAATCAAACGCGGGATTTTTTTGTTTTTACCAAAGATGAGCTCTGGGATGTTTGGAAAAAATCAAATTAAATGACTACCCAATTGTAAAATTTCAATTAAAAGGCCAAATAAAATTAGTTTTTAATAAATCATGTCTGGGATTTGAAATTATTATTTGGTAGGGATATTTACTAATTCAGACATGCCAACCACTCCAATTTTGGTGGAGTTACTCCGTTTATTTAAGCAAAACTCCGCACTCCGATTTTGGGTTGAAAATCTCTGCTTTTTGCGCATTTCCGAATAAAAATGATAATCCTATGATGTAGATAAGAACAAGACCACTTAAATTCGTCCTGAAAACAGCGCTCTGAACTGTATACAAAATAGTAATTCGCGCTCTACGGTCTACTGATTTCTAAAAAAAACCAATTTCATTGACCAAATCGCTGTCAGAATTACAATCTGAACTGTATACGAAAAATTAATTCATGCTCCACGGTCTACTGATTTCGAAAAAACAAATTTCATTGGCCAAATTGATGTCAGAGTTGCACTCTGAACTGTATAGTGCTCCATGGCCTACTGATTTCGTACCAACAACAGTCTAGTAAAGCACGATTTCAAAAATGGTGTCCGATGAGAGCGATATGGATGTAGGCCTAGGCAATACCGAAAAACGAGTAGTTGTGTTGAGCTTCCTCTAAAAAAGAAACTAAAGCATACGCAAACATGCAAGTTAATAACAGAAAGTATCCTGATAGTAATTGTTATTGTCGTGATGGAATAATAGACAATAACCGGATTTGCGTCAGGAGAAACATATATAGGTGTAATTTTTGCCCTACCTGATGGAAATGTACCGAATACTGCGAAAAAAAAAAAATCGCAAGTTGTTCTCGGGTGGGACTCGAACCCACGATCATCAGATCACTAGCCTGGCATCATACCTCTAGACCACCGAGCTTGCGCCTGATGGCCAGGGTTGAATTCGAGTCCAAGTAAGCAGCGGGTACTGCAGTGTTGATAGTAATTGTTATTGTCGTGATGGAAAAATAGACAATAACCGGATTTGCGTCAGGAGAAACATGTATAAGTGTAATTTTTTTTTTTCCCTACCTGACGTGGAAATGTACCGAATACTCAGTACATTTGAAAACAACTGCGAAAAAAATCGCAAGTTGTTCTCGGGTGGGACTCGAACCCACGACCTCCAGATCACTAGCCTGGCTAGTATCCTGTCAGTCTGAATTCAAAATTACTGTAGGTGATGCCTACGGTACGCTTGTTGTGATTGGTGTGGTGTTGATTTTCTGCCAAGGGCCTAGGCCCAGGGCCTAGTCTCGCACGGCGGTATTCCTGTTGTGCGTCAAAACGGTTACATTTTACAATCCGATCACATTGGTACTATGTCTTAGGAATACTCCTCACATTGCCAAAACTCCGCTCAGAAGTTTTTCAGACTCTTCTTGTTGGCCTTGTAGGGTTGCCATGTTTGCTATTTGCTCTTTGCATCCTAAATTTTGAGCATTATTTATATACTAGGTTTACTAACTGGTACAGTAAATAATAAAAATCATTTTTTATATACAAGTTAAATGAATCTTACAGTACATGTAATGTATTCTGCCATTTATGATAGGCATTGACAACAGTCTTTCAATTCGTAATTTTTTTTTTATTTTCCATGGATAAGTTACTTTTTTGAAAATTGGCAAATAGTAAATTTTTCCTTGAGGTTCAAAAAATTGAGGAGAGTGGGGACGTAAAACTAGCAATTAATTTTAATTGGCCTAAAATACCACGTAATTATTTTTTAAACAAGTTTGAAAATTAAGTTATTGATCATTCACTGTGTATACCTGTAGCTCATTAAAAAAAAAAAAAAAAATATGTGACTGGCTCTGGCAAAACTAGCCATTTTTAGTAAAAATTCAAAATTGAGTTTTTGGTGTTTTTAGATTCTGCATGAATTCTTTATAACAGTGTTTACGTGATGGAAATTGGTTGAGTATTAGCAAAGTTATGGATATTTAATTAATTGTATACATCAACGATGTAGGTTTGAGAAAATAGAAGATTCCAAAGTCAATACTTTATTATTAAGATTTGTTGTAAGTAAAAAGTAATTTTGATACTTTTCAGTTGATTTAGTGATTGATATTTTGCAGAAATCTTCTGTTATAAATTTATAAATAAATATCTTCTTTTATAAAATTCAAAAACATGAAAATGTTCAAAATTCTGATTCTCAAACATTTTGGTGCTTGTTGGAAATTATTATTTGAGACAAACAGCGGGTTTTTCACTAGAGCCGGTCACATATTGCAACATTAGAATACTGAATGTAATTGTTTTCATTCTGCTATACATGGCAGTATGAAAACAATTCAACAGTGAGTTACAGTATTTAATCTATTTTGAAATAAACTCTGTTAGAGCAAAGCTTTATCCTATTCACAATTATTAACTGCACTGTAACTGTGGCTAACTCAAAATTATTGTACGCTATAGAGGTGAACCAGTTACGATTGTATTAACGTAGTTAAGTTGCCCTAGGTCTTACTATCGTGAGACCTGAATTGACTTGAATGTTGGACCAAATGTAGGTTGCCTGGAGTTGGTTTAAAAGAAACTACTTATGCACATTTGACGTACAGTAAGCTGGCCCTGAGGCATTCCCGATTTGACAAAACTCTTGAATTGTGAATTGAGCTCTTTAAAGAGGACGTCGGATACAGTACATGTGCATTACATGACAATTTTTTTAGAGATTGTCAGTGGAGGGCAGAAAAAAAATATTAAAAATGTTGTTTTCTTATTTAGTAAAAGTATCTACTGTAGACAGAGGACAATAATATAATATTGTGCAGTATAGCCAAGTCCTATAATTATAAGTAGGGATGTAGGCAGAAGCTTATCCGCAATGTCAAGCTGCGTAATGCGGATC